GGAGGGATTCGTGCTGGGTGCTCGGGGTCACGGCAGCCCCGGCGAGCTCCCCGGTCCGTCCACGGGAAGAGCGCGCTCCGGGGTCCCAGACCCGCGGGGAAACCCACCTGTGCCGAGCGCCCGGGTCACGGGTCACGGCCAAGCCAAGGGCTTTAGGGCGCCTCGCACTGCGGACGGCGGCTGCCGAGGGCCAAAAGTAAACTTGCTTTGGCAGCGACTCGCGACCCGCTCCATCCGCGCTCGCTCGGCGAAGCTTGGTTAAACAAATGCGCACCGACAGTGCAGAGGTTTCCTAGCGGGGCTGTCTGACTTGCACAATGATTGCACAGTTCTGGCGCCCAAGATCAGTACATTCTAGTCTCTTCTATTTCAGCCGGGCTCCGCGGATAGCCAATGAATGGAAAGGGAAAACACCAACTCGATTTATTATGTAGTTATTAAAGCGAGGAAAGACCCGGCCCTTAGCCCATGAGCTCTCAGTGTGATCCATTTAGCTAAAAAAGATAAAAAAGCAATAGAGGCTGTAAAAAGCTGTGATACACACTGAAGCCCACGGTAGCCGTGTCCAAGAACTGCTAAGGCTGTGTATGGAAAGAGAGACGGCTGTAGACCAGGGGCTTCATGGGAGAGAGTTCAGGACACCAACCAATATTTCTCCTCGGAGCTGAAAGACCACTAGGTGATAGTTCAATAGAAGTGGGCTAAGTGGCTAAGCATCCTGGCATTTCCCACCCCATAAATCAAAGAGACTGGGCGAGAGTGGGTGCCAGAGATTATAGAATACCCGCTAATTCTGCGGTTCACAGGAATTACTGAAAATTTTGGGCCAGAGGCTCCAGTGAAGATTGCATTTTTGCATCTGACAGTATGAATCACCTTGGAGAGAGATGAGCTGGAGGCAGAGATCCAATTACAAGGGGGATAGAACAGTCCAGTAACCGGTGAAGAAAGTCTGGATTCATAGTGGACACTGAAGGAATCCTGCACCTGCTCTGCTGACTGACAAAGACAAGGACTCAAGACGGCTGTGGCTTTAAAGCTGTGGGCGGAAAGAGCCTTTCACAGGGGTCACCTAAGACCATCAGAAAATACAGATATTTACATCATGATTCATAACAGTAGCAAAATTACGGTTATGAAGCAGCAACGAAAGTAATTTTATGATTGGGGTCACCACAACATGAGGAACTGTTTTAAAGGGTCTCAGCATTTGGAAGGTTGAGAAGCACTGCTCTAGAGTCAGGGAAACCTGCACTGTTAACAGAGCTAGAGATACTGAGGAAGAGAAAAGAGAATGTGAAGATACCACATATGCTCTTCAAGTTGAGGAAATTGTGGCAGGTGAAGATAACCAGCTAAGATGATTCAAAAGTTCCACTTGATTCATGAATTGTATGGTGACCCCTTCCTGACCGACTCTCCTCTAAAAGTAGGGTACCCAGTATCTGATGTCGTACTCATTAGTTCTGAGATCACACAGAAACCTATGCATGGCACTGTGTGCCAGGACCATGCTTGCTACATAGCAAGCATTTAGCATACTTTTTTTTTTTATGTTCTAGCATAGAAACAGCTAAGACCCGTGGTGGAGTGGGGAAGTGAACAAGGTCAATGGCTGGCTGAACCTTAAGGGGCTCGGGGTGTGGGTCAGCTGGTAGACTGCGTACCCCATATGCTTGAAACCCTGGCTTTATTTCCCAGCACCACATATACCAGTTATGGTAGTGGTTATCTTGTAATCCCAGTTCTCAGGAGGTAGAGGAAGAAGGGTCAAAAGTTCAAGGTCATCTTTAGCTACACCATAAGTTCAAAGTCACCTGGACTACTTGAGACTCCTCTCTCTCTCTCTCTCTCTCTCTCTCTCTCTCTCTCTCACACACACACACACACACACACACACACAAAGCTGAACCTTGGTGGCCAATACCTTAAAATTAGGAAATAAATCACAAGTATCAACCACACTGAAGGAAAACTACGAAAGACATCTGAACTAAAGTTATGAGGTTCAATTACCACACCCATATTGCAGCTTCTAACTTTGTGTCTCTAGTCTCAGAGTATCCAGTGCCATCTTCTGGTGGTACACAGCCATGTATGTGCAGGCAAACCATATACATAAAAATAAATGAAAATTACTAAGACACGATTAAAGAGTAAATCTTTCTAAAAAGTCTTTTTAAGATGACACTTATTCTGCGTGCATGTATGTAGATGCACAGATGCTACAGCACAAACTGTGAAGTCAGAGGACAAAGTGCAGGAATTGATTTTCTCCTTTAGCGATATATGGCCTGGAGATTGAACTCAGGTAGTCAGGTTTGGTTGTCAGCAAGCACCTTTACCCACTGAGCCACCTCAGAAATCCTCACTACATCTACAATTCTTCAAAAAGTGACGTCTTCGGTAAAGCACCACTCCCCAACTTCAAGGTTCTCTTTACCCAGACAGCACTAATGGAGCTCACATCTAACTTGAATGGTGTGGTGGTTTGAATAAGAATGGCTCCCCTAGGCTCATAGGTTCAAATGCTTAGTCATCACAGAGTGGAATTTTTGGAAAGGATTAGGAAGTACGCTCTTATTGGGAATTTGTTGAGGTTGTTTGAGTAGGTATGCCCCACCCACAGACTCATGTGTTTGAATGCTTTGCCCACAGAAAGTGGCACTATTGGATGTGGCCTTTTGGAGGAAGTATCATTGTGTGGGCAGGCTTTGAGATCTCAAATGCTCAAGTTTTGTTCAGTGTGGTACACGGTTCACTTCCTGCAGATCCAGGTGTAGAACTCTCAGCTGCCTCTCCAGCGCCATGTGTGCCTGCACGCTCCCGTGACAATAATGGACTAAAGCTCTGAACTGTGAGCCAGCCCCAATTCAATGTTTTCCTTTAAGAGTTGCTGTGGTCATGGTCTCTTCATAGCAATAGAAACCCAAACTAAGAACCCTGACTGCTCTTTGGGCTGGAGAGCAGGCTTCCAAGTGAAATAAGGTGAAGAAAATATTCTACTTTACAGGGGTTTCTCTGTAGCTTTGGAGCCTGTCCTGGAACTAGCTCTTGTAGACCAGGTTGACCTTGAACTCAGCTTCCCCGAGTGCTGGGATTAAAGGTGTGCGCCACTGTGGTCCGGCTGAAATATTTTACTTTTAACCTCAGCCAGGGCTGTATAGTTAAGCTCTGTAAAAAAGACAAACCTTAAGCGGTCTGTTGGCTCACCTGAAGAAGCAGCTGCATTGACACAAGAGGGTCACTGGCCACTGGAAAAGCTCCTTGACCGGCACTATGTTAATTTCAGCTTTGGATGTCCCTCCTAATACACCCATAATTTTCTAAAAACCAGAGATGACACGGCATTTCTTTTATCTGCTGGAGTGTCAAGCATGAACCACATTTCCTTCTGCCAACAGTTACCTCCTTCCTGGAAGTTTAACAAATGAGTGCTTGGATTGCCTTCAAGCCCAGACCACCCAGCCTCTTCAGCCGCCACCAGTTACTCCATGCGCCTCACTGCTTAGTCCACAAGACTGCCAATGTGGCTACTTTGTAGATTATTCAATGACCACCCTGATGCATGTTACTGCTTGCTTATCAGTTTTAGTCTGGTCACTATGCTTTTTAGTCCTTCTTTTGAATTTGTTTTTTTGATAGGGTCTTACTATGTAGCCTTGGTTGGCCTGAAACTCACCACATAGACAAGGCTGGTCTCCAACTCAGAGATCTACCTGCCTCTGATCCCCATGTGCTGGAATTAAAAATGTGTGTCACCACACCCAATCTCTGGTTTTGTTTTTGAAACGAGTGTTTGCCTGAAATATGAACACACGTAGTGTCCCTGGAGGCCCGAAGATATCGCCCTGGCTGGCCAGAGCTCAAAAGATCTGCCTGCTTCTGCCTCCTGTGTGCTGGGATTAAAGTCATGTGACCAATCACTATAGATCTGAGAACTTTAGACTGTGTCACCTCCAAACATGACATCTATAAATCAGGGTTGGAATAGTTCTCAGTAACACACGTTCCTTTTGGGCAAAATGGCCATGGTGACCTTGCATAGTCTGGTGATATCTGCATATAATTTTTTTTTTTTTGATTTTTCGAGACAGGGTTTCTCCGTAGCTTTTTGGTTGCTGTCCTGGAACTAGCTCTTGTAGACCAGGCTGGCCTCGAACTCAAAGAGATCCGCCTGCCTCTGTCTCCCGAGTGCTGGGATTAAAGGCGTGCGCCACCACCACCCAGCTGCATATAATTTTTATCTGTGGTTGACAAGGCATGCTTTAGAAATTTTTTTAAGAACAGAGATGAATTATTATAGACTCTCAGAAACATGGTTTTCTTCTCAGGCTGTCACAGGAGCTTGGATTCTTTGCTTTGAAAGGAGGAATGCAGAGATGCCACCGCGTTAGAGCAGTCCTCCCCGACTATCATCACATACTTGAAACACATTACTTTCTTTTAAAACCAAATTATTGTTGAAGAGTTTAAATAAACTGTTTATTTTAAAACAGTCTTACTATTATACAGTTCAGGATAGCCTCAAACTCACTACAAAGCCTAGATTAGTCCTGAACTCATGGAGATCCTCCTGTCTCATCCTCCCAAGTGCTGGGGTTAGAGGCATGCACCACACATCTCTTAAACCTAACAACGAATAAGTTTCGGGTTGTTTTTATTTTTATAGCCTCACTATGTAGCCCAGGCTGGCCTCAAACTTGCATAATTCTGCCTCAGCTTTCTTTGTGCTAGGATTATAGATATGGTCCACAAAAATGGTTTTTAAAGGTAATAAATCTTGTCCCAATTCTTCTTTGACCCAGTAACTGAGAAAAGGACTGGTCCTTTGCTACCTGCTGTGCAGCCTGCCGTTCTCACCCACCTTCAGAGCCCCAGTGGAATGAACTAATGTCTTCTTATGCTTATTTCCCAACCTTCCAAGTTCAGAGCAGGCCAGCAGCACAGGGGAGGCTCCGACAGCAGTGACTGTTCCTGGGGAAATGAGGTACAGGGACCATGGTACTGAGTTTTATTAGGGATCTCATTAAGGTTAAACCTCTAGGAATGAGGGAGTCCTAGTCAGAGGGCACGAAAGCCCATGAAGCCTCCTCAGATCTCATAGTGAACCACCGGCTCAGGTTCTTTGGCAGGATCACCGCCTTTTTCCAGGTACAGATTATTGTAAGGGTATTGCTTCGGCCCCTAAGGAAGAAAACAAAAACCAAAAACCACACAGGTCAGCAAGAACAACAGCCAGCAGCTAATACCTGACTACATCCCACTCTAGTTAACGATCATGCCGAGCAAATGGGTATACAGTAGCCTCTGGTCAGAACCAGCTGAGCTAAAATGGCAGAAGCAATGCTCCCCGCCCCTGCTCAACCCACAGCAGAGAAAGAGCCTAAACTGTAAGAGAAGTGGTGCCTGCCCTGCAAGTAAGAGGTAGGAACGGGGGAGGGGGGGGGGAATCCGAGCCAATGCTTTCCAAATGAGAGGACGCATCCATCCATCCTATTCTCTCTCGGGGTTGAGACAGACTCAATCTCCTTTAAGTCACTCAGCCTCTAATGGTTCCACCACTAAAGTGGCCTAGCAAATGAGGCGTGCAGGAGCAGCGGTGGGGGAAAGCGCAGAGGAGGCACGGCTGGGACATGCTTTAGGAGCTGCTGGCTTTACCAACAAACAGCTGCCAGAGAACACAGCTCAAAGGGAGGAGAAAAGGGTGACGTGCTTACAGAACTGAAAAATGGAAGAGCCACGCTGTTCCGCGCTCTCCTGAAGTGAAGTTAGTGCTCACCACAGCCCCACATGCTCTCCAGCAAGGAGTCCCTGGGGCTCGGCAAGAAGGCTCGTGTCAGTGCGCACAGCCATCCCAGCTACCTTCAGGACATTATCTCTGTGGAGGTAGCACCAGGCAGCCGACTGCACACACGGCAGCTTCCCTGCCTGTGTCTCTCTTTCCAACATACCCTGGAGACTACTCCCAGGTTAGTTTTCCTAAGAACCCAGCCCTCATCATGTCAGTCTTCCAGTCAAAACCTAAAAGCAGCTCCCTGGTACTAGAGGCGGCCCAAGACATCCCTGCACCCCATCTCCTGGCACAGTCTACATCCAGTACATAGCAGAGGCTGCATAAATATTTGTTCAGTTAATACACCACTATGTCATCAAGTTCAAATCCTCAGCTATGCAATAAAAGCTGCCCAATGGAACTAATCAATTCACCTCACAATGTTTTTAGCATAGTGATCTTCAATTCTAAATGAATTTTATAATTACCTAAAGATTGTTGAAAATGTTGATTCTAGAACCCTATTGTGAAGCCAAAGAATTAGAACTTCCAAGAACCAGGCCGGGGGAATACGAATGTATTGTAGTTCTCTAGGGGACCCATACAGCAGGTGATTTAGGAACTATTTCTTTTTTTAATGGCTGGTTTAAATTTTTGAATATTTCAAATTACATTTAATTATCTAATATGTAGGTATGTGGGTACACTCTTGCCATGGTACTCACACAGAAGTCAGAGGACAACTCACAGGAGTTAATTCTCTCTCTTTTACTATGTGGGTCCCAGGGATTGAACTCAGGTCAATAGGCTTAGAGCCTGGTGCCTTTACCCATGTGCCATTTCATTGGCCCTGTTTCTATATAACAACTAACTCACCATCCTTCCTCCTCCGACTGTTCTCGCTTACCCCTCATGGTTTTTCTGACTTCCCCACCACCCAAATCCCATTTTTGTTGTTGTTATGTTTTGTTTTCAGCCTCCAGTTTTAATCCTACTCCCTCGCAGCATCTCATCCCACTCTGTGCATCTACTATAGGCATATGATGTGGGAGTGTCATATATCAATCTGTTGATTTCATTGGTTAAGCAATAAAGAAACTGCTTGGCCCTGTGGGTGGAGTAAACAGAACAAAATGCTGGGAGGAAGAGGAAGTGAGCTCAGAGACTCGACAGCTCTCCTCTCTGGAGCAGACGCCTGAGAGAGACGCCATGCCCCGCTCCTGGGATGAAGCTCCGACCCAGGATGGACTAGGCTAGAATCTCCCCGGTAAGTGCACCTTGGGGTGCTACACACAGATGATTAGAAATGGGCTAAATTAATATGTGAGAATTAGCCTAGAAGAGAATGGGCCAAGCAGTGTTTAAATGAATACAGTTTGTGTGTTGTTATTTCGGGCATAAGCTAGCCGTGCGGGCGGCTGGGGTGCTGGGGACGCAGCCCCGCCGCCCATATTACTACAGGCATACACAGACAAACCATGCCAGGCTCTCACATACGTGTTCAAATGGTGCTCATCATGTCATTTAGCTAAAATTTCTTAAAACTTCTTTTAAGCTGGAAGGTATATTCTCTATGTCCATTGAATTCTTCGAGACATAACTGTCTATGCTGACCATTGACAACTATTTCTAGTAGCCTGCAGAAAGTGCCCTTCATGTGTCCAAGACAGGATAAGGCTTCAACTCTAGAGTCTTTGACTTGGCCTTGAAAGGCCGTTCACTAAAATATAAGGATAACTCCCATTGTCAAATGGAATTCTGAAGATTAGCTTCCATTTTCTCATCCACTATTTAGTGTTAACGTCCGTCTTTCAATTCGACTGGTCCACGGGGAGCGGAAGGAGAGCAGTGCTTTGTTGCCTGGAGGGGCTGCTGCCCTTCATCTTCCTATTTTTTAAACCTCGAGGAAGCCAAACTCGGTATGGGCTCGTTTCCTACTCCAGAGACTTCATGCCCTCAGCAAAGGAGGAAAAGCAGGTGTGTTTTGGGGAATCCATAAAATACTCACCACAGGCTGGTAGGAAGGGAAAGTATCCCCAACCCAGAACATGAAAACCATGAAGGCCACGAAGCCGAAGAGATGTTTACACATGACATCCCAAGAAACAGGTGTAGGGGATGTGTCCACACGATTCCTGATATACATGTCTAGGTCCCAGTGGATCTGTGGCAGAAAGGCATTGAACCATCACAAACTACTCTTCCTGCAAGACAGGTGTGCTGGCTAGTCTCATGTCAACTTGACACAACCCAGAGTTATCTAAAAGATGGGAATCTCATATGAAACAATGCTTCCATAAGATCTAGATGGAATTAATTAGTAACTGATGGAGGAGGACCCAGCCCATTGTAGGTGGTTCCATCCCTGGGCTGGTGGTCCTGGGTTCTGTGAGAAAGCAGGCCGAGGAAGTCATGGGGAGCAAGTAAGTAAGCAGCACCCCTCCAAGGCCTCTGCATCAGCTCCTGCATCTGGGATACTGTTTTGAGTTCCTGTCCTGACTTACTTTGATAATGAACAGTGCTGAGGAAGTATAAGCCAAATGAACCTTTTCCTTCCCAGGTTGCTTTTTGGTTATGGTGTTTCATCATAGCAATAGAAACCCTAACTAAGACAGCAGGCAATCTAAAACGGCCAGAGCCCGTCACAAGGCTTAACAGAACCATTCCACTTCCTGGGAGCAATATTCTGAGAGGCAGGTCCAAGACACAGAGCCAGCAAAGATGAATGCTGGCTTCATCAAAGGTGGCTCGAGCACGGCATGTGCAATGTTCACAGTACACAGGACTCTGGGATTTCCTGTCTGTTCCATCCCACATGCCATACGTAGAACTTCGGGTCTCACATCCCCAGATGTTGCTTCCTTGAGCAGAAAAGCTTAGCAACAAAGTACTACATAAACTAAAGAGAGTCCTGGCAAACCTAAGGACATGGAGAGAAAGCGAAATGGGCAATGGTTTTCTCACCGTTTCGCCCCAGTTCAACCGCAGGTCTGGGTGGTCCCATTCGTACCATGGATCCCTCTCCTGCTGTGAGCGGTCAGGGAGCTTCGGGTAGTCGCCATACCTGAGGGACAGACAGCAAGAACTTCTGGAAAGGGCTGTGAGCAGTCACTGACAATTCAGAGCCCTCATCTCAAAGATCAGAAACAAAGCAATGACTATAACTACTTCACTTAAGGATAGAAGAACACACCCAGACTCAAGATCTCAAGTTCTAGTACTAATAAAAGAACAAAAAAGGTCCAAGCTACAATTAGAGGTTATGTTAAACTCTGAAACGACATGGCCTTATTCTCTTTTACAGAGAAAAGCCACACAACTCTATAATTAGGATTAAAAGAGAATTTTAGCAATCAATTATTCCATTCCTTCATCAGACGGGCTCTAAAGACAAAGCCATCCACATTTGTTGGAATAAAAACTAAAAAGGGTATGCATTAGAAAAGCCTTTTTTTCTTCACAGTTATTGTGTTTCTTTTTTCTTTTCTTCTTCTTTTTTTTATTTTTTTGACTTGGTTTCTCTGTAGATTTGGAGCCTGTCCTGGAACTAGTTCTTGTAGACCAGGCTGGCCTCAAACTCACAGAGATCCGCCTGCCTCTGCCTCCCGAGTGCTGGGATTAAAGGTGTGTGCCACCACCACCCGACACTACTATGTTTCTTAATCACAAGTTGATATACAGCCTCATGCTTCAAAAGCCTCATAGGAGGTCTTGTTTAGCTGGGTTCTACAAATCCATGTTCACAGACTACTAGTCAGGCTGTTCCTGTCCACAACACAGTTTTAAAAAAGGAAAGAGAAGAAGAAAGAAGAAAGAAGAAAGAAGAAGAAGAAGAAGAAGAAGAAGAAGAAGAAGAAAGAAAGAAAGAAAGGTAACTGGGCACATGTCAAAGAAACTGACAGGGAAACAAAAACAAGAGGTGCTAAAAGAAGAAGTTCTAATTTTGTATAGAAATTCTAATTATGTATAGTGGTGATGTTTAACCACTATACATAATTAACCACGCTACATGAACACGGGCAGAAGAGACTAACACCAACTGGAGAATGAAGGCTGACGTTTAATTTGCTTAACAGTTGATGCGATTTTCACATCTCTAACCTCAAAAAGGGGGGGGGGGTTACACACATTTTTGATGAGACATATACAAACACAGAGTACACCATCCAGGATAAGGTTCTTGTGACAGGAGTACAGCTTCAGCCTGATCACGTGCCTAGCTGACAGCACCTGAGCCCAGCAGATGTGCAATCTAAATGAAACCCAGTGCTCTGGATGGATCCCAGGAAGAATTCTGCTATTCTGGAGTCCTCGAGGGAGGTATTAAAACCTCGGCTTTCTCATTTGAGGAAGCAGCCTGAGCCAAGGAAAAAATTGCAGTCCTCTCGGCTGCAGCTGCTCACTCACCCACTCCCACCTTCCCCCACCAAGGAAAGCACCCACGCCCGTGACTCTGACGGGGTTACAAGCAGGTTCAAGAGAAAACGTCAGAGTCGCACCACCCAATCCAAAGGTCTTCACCCATCACTGTCCCTAAAGCGAGTAGACCTCCCTCTACCTCACCCCATGCCATCATCCGGGTACGGCTCGTAGTCTTCCACGCGCATATTATACTTCTTGGCGGCCGCGGCGCGTTCCTCTGGGGTCCTAGGATACCGCCCCGGCAGCATGTCCTTGGTCATATGGAAGGCTGAACGCAGAGGGATGCATGTCAGAGGGACACGGTGCTCTAGCCACCCAGAAGGCCGCAATGACTGCAGAGGTCGGAGCTCCGCACTCTGCCGGACGACCGCAACCCTCCGGATCACCTCTCCTGGACACACTAATTCACCTACCCCCCGGCCGGCACACCACCGCCACAGTCCCAAGGATGCCCCCTCCCGGGACAGCAAACATCAGGCACCCCCTTCCCACACCAGCGTCTCGAGCGTTCTTGCGGACCTCTCCATGACCCCAGTGGCACCATGCCGCGGGTTGCCCTTTGCAGCCACCGGACTCCCAGAGCTGCAGACCTGGGCGCCGCCATCTTCACCTTCTCTGCCGTTCACCCTGCACATGCGCAAAGGCGAGTCACGGTGGCTGAGCGGGGCCAAATGAGACCGCTGAAACCGGCGCAGAGGTCTCCAGGGTCAAGCTGAGCGGCTTTAAAAACGCTGGTTCTGCCTGGGCGGGGAGCGGATGGCAAGGAGAGGAATCAAAGCTATTTCTTCTTTGGTATTTCAAGTCATGGTGTTTCTTTTCGCCTTCAGGTGATTGATGTCGTTTCAGACATCCCACGGAACATCTCAGACAACTGACCAAAATAAAATCAGATACTCTTTCCTCAAATTGCTTGCCTCCCACCACTCCCCTGACTGACGTTTCACCTTCTGTCATCACAGGTCATTATCACACGTAGTCGTTTTTCAAATTTAGTTCTTAATTTTGTTTGAGCCTCCAAATCGGTTAACCTCTGAGACATCTCTCCAGCCCCATAAAGTACTCTAATTTTTTTCTTTTTGTCCAGCAGATTTTTTATTACTTTATAAATAATACCAATCAAAATTTCCACTTCCTCCCCTCCTCCTACTTTCCTCCGGCTCTCTCACTCCCCTTCAAGTCCCAAGAGAGACAAAGTATTCTTCTAAAGAACACAACAAGTGCTCTGCAAAGGTGGTGCACGCCTTTAATCCCAGCACTTGGGAGGCAGAGGCAGGCGGATCTCTGTGAGTTCGAGACCAGCCTGGTCTACAAGAGCTAGTTCCAGGACAGGCCCCAAAGCTACAGAGAAACCCTGTCTCGAAAGAAAAACAACAACAACAACAACAACAAAAAAAAAACAAACAAGCAAAAACCACAACAAGCCTCACCTGATGGTATAAGACTTTGGCAATATTACCACTTGAGAAGTAAAGGCAAAACAGTTAGGAGTTCAAACCTAGCCTGAGCTCTATAATGAACTGAAGGCCAATCTGGGCTACACTATACTCTGTCTCAAACACAAAGGTGTGTGACGACTTTTAATGCATATCACAAAGGTGTGTAACCATCTCTTCTGTCCAATTCCACAACGTTTTGTCGCTCCCCCAGAAAAACCTCATACCTGTTAACTTATTTCCTCTACTGCCACACATTGGCAACCACTAACCTATTTTTTGTTTCTACGCTTTTGCCTAATCTGTATATTTATAGAAATGCAAGCATACAATATGTGGCTTTTGTGTCTATCTTCTCTCACATAATGTGAGTACAGTGTAGTATGTGTTAATATTTCATTTTTAAAGCTAAGTTGTAGTGAGGAGCGGCGGGCTGCGTTCCACCCAGCTCCCGCATGGCTAGCTTTATACCTGAAATAACAACACACAAACTGTATTCTTTTAAACACTGCTTGGCCCATTAACTCTAGCCTCTTACTGGCTAATTCTCACATCTTGATTAACCCATTTCTAATAATCTGTGTAGCTCCATGAGGTGGTGGCTTACTGGGAAGGATCTCTGTCACATTGGTCTCATTGCAAGGATAGATTTAAGTAGGAGAGATGGTTACAGATTCAGAAAACTCAGGTAGTATTAAACAAAAGAATTCTTCCATTGATTTGATTTTATTTTCCTTTTTTTCTTTTTTCTTTCTTTTTTTTTTTTATTTTAAGAGATGGTGACTTGCCTTGTTGTCCATGCTGCAGCCTCTGGAGTAGCTGGAACTATAAGCCCTTGGTCTTCCCTTGATCCTGAATGAATTCAGTTTGCCATTTATCATATGCCTAAGCTTCCAGGATGGCTCTACCCAAGATCTATATGAAAATTGATTTTTCTAGTGATTCCTTAAGTGGGCCCAACATTGGCTTCTCTCGGCACTCATGAGAGCAAAGTTTAAAGCGTAATTATATTTGCCTCTGTAAGCTTGAGCATGCCCAGGCAGCGATATTTTGTACTATTTTTAATATTTTGTTAATTATTTGTTAGTTCCTTCTCTGAAGGACTGAGGAGGGCGGCAGAGTGGAGCCTAGGCTGTAGTGCTGCAGGTCACCATTAGGGAGCGCTCCTTCAACCGAGGGCCCCACCTTCTTAAAGGGTCTGGACCGGTTTCTCTTGCAGTTCATCTCTAGTGGTGTACTCTGTGGGTGCTTCCGGAAAGGGTGGAACTTCCGCTTCCGGCGGGGCCGTCCCTAGAGCAGAGATGGCGGCGACGGCGGCCGAAGATGCGGCCTCTGGCTCTGGAGAGCCCCGGGAAGAGGCGGGAGCTCCGGGCCCCGCCTGGAATGAGTCCCAACTGCGAAGTTACAGCTTTCCGACCCGGCCTATCCCGCGTCTGAGCCAGAGTGACCCTCGGGCGGAAGAGCTCATCGAAAATGAGGTGGGGGGCGGGGCTGCTGCTGAAGGGGTGGAGGAAGGGACCCAGTTAGGGGGTGCGCTGGGTAACTGGCCGGGTTGTGGATTGAGACTTGGGGCGGGAAAGAGAGATGGTGTGTCAGTAGTGCTCGACAGGAGAAATTGTTGGGAATTTGACAAGTACAAATATCGTCGAAAAGAAATGATTAGCTCCTTAGTATCACTTGGTTGATCTTTTTCTGGTGTTTTTACTTAGGAGCCTGTGGTGCTGACCGACACAAACCTTGTGTATCCCGCTCTGAAGTGGGACCTAGACTACCTGCAAGAGAATATAGGCAACGGGGATTTCTCTGTGTACAGCGCCAGCACCCATAAATTCTTATACTATGATGAAAAGAAGATGGCTAATTTCCAGAACTTTAAGCCAAGGTCCAACAGGGAGGAAATTAAATTCCACGAGTTCGTTGAGAAACTACAGGACATACAGCAGCGGGGAGGAGAAGAGCGGTAAGTTGCCCAGTCGGTAGAATTAGGGCATCCACTATCCTGTACTGGTTTGAAGGTGTGGTGGAATTGGGTAAGAAGAGATTGGTATCGCCAACGTCTGTGTTCCATTACTGACGAATGAATAACCCTCTTTACTATACTGTAAGGGCCTTGAGTTTTTGATGGTTCTTTCTAGAAGCTTGAGGAATGAGAATAGCATTAGTCTTGAACTGTGAACCTAATTTCCTATCTTAGGTAGTGAGAGTGACAGTTGCAGCGTCAATTGGATGAAAGAAAGGCTTGACTATGTCTAGGCAGAAAGTTTTTAAAGGCTGAATGAAGGTGTATATGTCCTTTTGGAAGTAAGAAGTCATTGTATGGGTCTTTGTTTTTAGTTGTTTGGGGTTTTGGTTTAGTTTTGGGGGGTGGGGCAGGCTCTCACTCTCTCTCTCTGGCTGGCCAGAAGAAGGTACCCTATTCTCTGCAAATGGAATAACAGACAATTGTTAACTGACATGAGGGTTCTGGGAACTGAACCCCAGACCTCTCTGCAGGAGCTCTTACCTGCTGAGCCATGTCTTTAGCCCCTTCTAACTTTTTTTTTTAAACTTTATTTATTTATATTTTATGTATGAGTGCTCTGCCTGTATACCTGCAGCCAGAAGAGAGCATCAGGTCCTATGAGAGATGGGTGTGAGCCACCATGTGGGTGCTGGGAATTGAACTCAGTGCTCTGAACCACTAAGCCATCTCTCCTGCCCCACTTCTGACTTTTAACACACACACACACACACACACACACACACACACATTTAGAGAGAGAGAGAAAAAAACAATAATTTTTTGTTAGATTTCGCCTGAAATTGACAGTTTGCAGTCTCGGTTCTAGAATACTGTCTGGGGACAGTTCATGCTGAACAGTCCAGTGTATGGTATGGATTGGGGTTAAGGGGTATCAAGATCTTTTTTAGCATTGGGAGGATCGATCAGATCATCACTTGGAGTGCTTCTTTCTTCCTCTTTGTTTTTATTTTCACTTCTGAGGACAGCCCAGTTATGTAGCTTCAGTCAGTCCCACGCTGTAAAATTGTCCCTGGAGAATTTCTTTTGTGGAGTGCTTGCTAGTGCATGACTGTCCTACATTTGACCCTGTCTGGAGTTCTCTGGAGTTCCCTGTCTTGATTCTTTCCTGACTTCCTGTCAGCAGTATGTACCTTAGTGAGTAGGTTTTAAATGTCTGGGCCAGTGAGTAAAGGTGCTTGCTTCCAAGCCTGTCAGCTTGAGTTTATTCTAAACCAAGACCGGCATGGTGGAAGACGAGAACTAAGTCCCACAAAGTGTCCTCTGACCTCCACATGTATGCTGGGAGATATTTGAGCTTTTATTATTAAAATTGTAATAGGAATGTTGTTTATATTTATTTTTGGGAGTGTCTCTAGCTCTCTAGCTCTTTCTGTTTTGTAGGTATGTGTGTTATAGCCAGGCATGGTGGTCCATGTAAAAATCACAGCACTCAGGAGGTGGAGGCAGAAAAATAAGGAATTAAAGGCCAGGCTCTGTTATTGTGAGAGAGTCTTGAAGGTTCCTTGTAGCTAGCTTTTCCAAGTTCCTGAAATTTCTAATGAATTTCACCTTAATTGTTAGGTAGGATTTAAGGCAGTGAAGTCCTTATTTCTCACTCTCAGACATGTTTGTCAAGGGTCGCATCATCTCCTTGAGTCTTGGACACAAATTGTCCCAGTAGTTACAATCTGAAATTTTGCAGTTAGATGTAACAAAGGGGAAAGCAGGGTAGCATGGAGTGTTTCTTAAATTATACTTGCAAGCAACACAAGTTCCTCTGTGGACATTTCATTGGTCAAAGCAAGTTAAATAAGACTGTGGGCACCAATAAGTGGACACCAAGAGTTAACTTTCCACAAGGAAGGCCTGGTGAGTTAGGATCAGCCACAGTGACCATCAAGGAGAGTCTGGAGGAAGGCCGATTCATCATGGACTGTGTGGATGGGCTTCCAGGAAGCTAAATCGTGTGACTTTCCCTGTGTGTGCACATTCTTAAATGAATCTGTACTGTGGCCCAGGTTTTAAGACTCTCAACTCTAAAGAACTTGTTGTGGAGCAGAGCTCAAACAGGGAGAAAGAATTCCTGTCTGTGAATCCGCATTAAAGTCCTGCATGACTGCAGCTGTTCTCTTTTGAGAATGCTAGTGACAGACTGGGTTCCCAGACGTGGGGGTCATACTAGGGATCGAGCTCAAGGACTGATGGAATTTCTTTCCTTGGGGAATATAGGTTGTATCTGCAG